ATGAGTTAAACGTACTAAGAAAAAATTCCAGCAATAACTTATTCATAATAGATATCTTCTTATCATTTAACTTGGATTTCTCCAATGTGGGCACATCATAAGCACAATCAATAACTTTCTATAATTAAATATTTTTAGATTTAATAAATAATTTAAATCTTAAGCACTATTGAGCATAAGGAAAATTATTGAATTTAGGAGCAAAATTTATGTCATAACCTAATCTAGGTGCACCGTGCATATCCATAATATAAATGCCAACAATAAAATAATTATTAAAACTAAATTAGCAAGATATAAAAGCTTGAATCTTTGACTCTAGGCGATTAAGCCACAAATCAAGAGCACCAAGCTCTGATACCAAATGAAAGTACCCTAGAGGGGGGTGAATAGGGTAATTGCTAATCTAATTTGATATTAATGTTAAATTAAAACTATTAACTAATATTCTAACAATATATAATAAGATATGAATGCAAGGATATAGAATTAAACTAATGGTGATATAAACATGAGACAAAAGATGATATGAAAATATACAAGAGAATAAATACGCCAATGTCAAACAAAAACACAAGAATATGTTCACAGAGTTCGATCACCCTTGACCTACGTCTCCGCTCCTCACCATCGAAGAGATACTCCACTATATCATAAAAATAACTACACAATCTGTTTTTCAACGCTCACCGATAACATTTACAACTCACATAATTGTCAATACACAATACACTCCTCTAAGTGTTGGCCTATCTCATGTCACATTTCTCAAGTGCTTGGAATTACTACCTCTCCTTAGGCTTTTACAACCAAGCCACTCCTCTTGGAATTGACCATGTCTCACCCAACCACTCCTTAAAGTGTCCTTATGTATTATAATGTGTTCACAATAATTAAGCTCAAATACAAGATTTGTTCTCTAATACTAATGAGAATGAAAGTGTAAGCTCACACTCAATAAATCGCACCCATAATCCAAATTTATACAATATGTGAAATGTTTAAACTCAATGATTGTGTGTGAAACAATATGTAAAACAAATTAAACTCAATCAAATCTAGCTTATATATGATAATAAAAATGTAAATTTGCTAGAAAGTAAGTTTATAAAAACTTCTCTAAGCAAATAGATGTAGAATAGGATGTTTGAGGTTGAACGCCTCAAAATCGGATTTACGATCGATCTCTTTGTGAAAATTTCTTCACATAAACCACCACTCAAAAATGTTGAGAAAAACTGAAACAAACTCTTGCTAAAACCCCTTGAAAAACCTCTTGAAGAAAGTGGGGGTTTAAACTCTTTTATAGCCTCAAAAATAGCAAGGCAAAAAAACTAGTCGTTACAGTGCCGTCGGTCGACTGATACGCTGTTCAGTCGACTGATGAGTTGACCATTAGTTGATTCTGGAAAGGTATCGGTTGACTGATGCAAGTCATCGGTCGACCGAAAATACTGTCCAGTCGACTAATAGAGATTAGTCTACTGAGCAAAAACTTTTCAGCAATTTTAGAGCAGTTCATCGGTCGACTGATGAACAGTGTCGGTCAACCGAAAAACGTGCACAACCTAGTTTTAAACAGTAAATTTGATTTTCAAAGTGTGTTTAAAAATAGTAAATAAATTCTAAAAATTATGAATCTTGGGAAATGTTTATATTCATGAATATAAACATGTTAGAAAAGAAATTTTTTAAATATCATTAACTATTTTTGAAAACTCATCATTTTGCAATATCTCAAAAAATACGAGTTCATTTAAACACTTGTTTTGACAAAACGATTTTAAACACATTTGCAAATTCTTTTGAATGGATTAATAGACTTTGGAAAAGATATAAAATATTATTGTTAAGTCAATAATCCAAAGACTCGATGTTTTCTCAAAAACACTCATATTACGATAAATACGTGTGTGTAAAAAATTAAGCTCTAAGCATAACACACAAAGTATAATTCCTAAAGCTATTATACCCAAGTTGATATGCATGAAGCTTGATCTTGATTCTTTGATCTTGAATTGTGTTGGCACAAATCCTTTCAACCTAAATACACATTGAACAAATCACAAATACTAGAAAACACAATTATAAATTGTTTGTTAATCATCTAAACTAGATTAGAAAGTAGGCTCATAAACAAGAGTCCTAACAGCATCCAGGAGCACGAAAGTCCTTCGACGAGAACTGGCCCCCAGCATTGAAAAAGCTATGGCGGAAAGTCTGAGCCACCGTCGTTGTCTCCCCCATTGTCAAGTCGTTCTACAATAAGCCGGGATGCAAGGTCGTGACACATTTTCCTGAGCTATCTATGCCAAAGCCGACCTTCGATCCTGTGAAGAGGTCGCAGGTAACTCCATCTTGTGTGGGGGTTAGGTCCCAGTCCATTACTCTTAGCACAGAGAGTGACCGCAGTTCTACAATGAAAAACCTCCTTGGCATGGCGGGGATGAAGTAGTGGATGTTATCTATGACACGAAGCTATTAGCTTTCACCAAGATATAAGCTGGTTGGATCAGTCTTCGCATCTCCAAACAGAAAGGAAGGTTTCCTTATCTCCCTACGCTTAGAATCGGTCATGTCAGCATCCGTGATGAGCTCTCAAAGCGTGAGCCAATGCCCTTCGGAGATTAATTGTTCACTCTCTATAGAACTATCAAGAGAGAAAATCAACAC